AAACGAAGATTTTGAATCATACTGGGAAGACGAAAATCTGACCTCCCCACCCCTTCCTCTCCAAAAAAAGCGGGTCACTCGGTGCTATAAAAAAACATTGTAAAAGTAACGCATTTGATCGGGTGAGGAAAACATCGAAAAGATGCCATTATGTCCAGCATTCACAGAAAATTTCGTGTTGGAAGCTAGGGGTCTGTGCCATAGGTGGGTGGAAGGGGAAGGAGTGTATGGCTTCTACCGAACGACCTGAGGCGGCGGGGGAGGGGGGTGAGGGAAGGATGTGAGGTTCCTGGGAGGAGGGACGGCAGGGGTGCAGAAGAGAGTTCTCTTCAGGTTTAGCACTGCTATCTGTGCCGCTGGAGTGGGGACGAAAGCTCCCCCCCCCCCTCTCCCCGGATCCGCCTGTGGTCTGTACTGACATTTAGTAAGAAAAGTGAACCTTGATTCGAGTTCGCTTCGGCAAGGGCTTTTCGCTAAACCTTCAGCTGTTCGCCATAAAAGTGTTGCGCCACAAAGATCAATTAGTGTTCCATCCTGAAACGAAATTACTATCACTGTGCCTTTGATTCCACGGCTATTACTTTTATTTCCGTCATTTGCTCTGAATATCACTGCGACCATGTGCACAAGTAAAATCCGATAGGCAGTGGTATGCTACTCGCTTTGTCGTCGGAAACCACTGGCCGTTATGTACTCAAGCCTGGTCTCGACGAAACTGCGCACAAACATCGGGCAAACGGTGGGTAGCCCAAATGGAAATATGCGACCCAGCAACGAAGATTCTGCGCTTGTGGGGGTATCTCAGTAACATCAACATCATAGGTACCACATCGAATGTTCAGGCGATCTCTGTGTATGCTCAAAAGTTGCATTTTACACCATCTTTGAAAACAGCAAGAGGAGGTAACGGAAACGGGGTCACAAATCTCCCTGCGAATTTTTCTTTTTTTTTTTTTTTTTTTAATAATACGCCTTGAAAAACATTTGCTCTGTGAAAAATAAAAGAAGCGTATTTGTCCCCTCCTCATCTCGTCACCACAAAATCTACATGATCACGCAGATTTCTGTTCTTTGATGTATTAACTGCCTACGATGCATGGCATTTTCTGCCTCTACAATAAAAAGTTTAACCTGTAATTCATTGGTTTCGTCGGCAATTAATTCTCCACGTTTGGTTGAAGATCGCATTTCTCTTAACTTGTAAATATCACCATCAACAGAAACTTCACGCCAAACAAACAATTTCTTGTCCGCGCTACAACCACTATCCTACAAGAATTTCCATTTTAGAAATAAGCG